CAGCTCTCTAGCTTTTCTGGTTCGCGAGTTAGCAGCTTACCCGTAAAAAACTTTGGCGGGCTCTTATGTGGATGCCACGCGGGAAAGACCGCCCATTTTGGGGATGGGGGCCCGTACGTGCATGTTGACTAATTCCCCAAAGTTTCAGCCCTGTGGCTTTTGTGGGTCTCGAGATAAAAAATTGGTACAGACTCGCAGCGCACACACAGACACACACAAACACACACAGACACATACACACACACACACGCACAGACAACCTCTCGTCAATATGCGTTTTTCGCATTGCATGGCTGCAAAAAATGCATAAAAAGTGTAAATAATAAAAGAATTGACGAGTGGCAGCGCAAAGAGGTTCTTCTTACCTCTAGCAATTCCAAATCTTGTGCACCGCCGGCTGTTTCCCTCTTCCGGTGCTCTTTTCGATCAAAATCCACCATTTCAGCAATTACTGTCAATAAGCAGATGAACAATAGTGCAACCACAAGAGCATGAATGTGCATCATACGTCGAACTGCTCATTTGACGCTGGAATTAGTACGGCCAAATATGCACAAAAAGCCTTCAAAGCATAAAAGGAGACTTAAATATTCTTCAGAAACGATATCTGACAAGCGAAAAGTGAGGGAAGAAGTCAGACTGCGCTATAGTTATCTATCGCTTGTCAACAAGCCGAAAAAGCAGTATTCAGTCCATTTGAACCTTTTGGGCTACAGCCTTCTGCAGTGCTTTAGCTGGATCACATTACACCTAAAAAAATTTAACAAGCCTGGATGGAGCACGATTATGTTACTGGCCAGGACGAAATCCATTTCCGGCAGAATCATAATCAGGTAAGAAGAAAAGGGCGCACCCATCTCCTTGCAGCGTGCACACGTTAAATTCTTGATTTTTAAATTGAAAAATTTGACAGCGTGTTAAAAAGTCCATATCTCATAAATAGGCATTTCGTCAGATCAGAAGCATCTATCATCTCCCCTATTTGCCTCTAGCCGAAATTTTACTGCTCACGAGAGCTGCAGTACGCGGAAGTAACTCGAGCGGTAACACATTCACTGGCAGTGCTGTCAATGATGTCTTTATTCGACTACCTGTGATGTTTTGTATTATAAAGTTCGGGAAAAACAACTTCATTCGGAAAAAACTGAACTTATGTGCATCAGGAACTGCTGCATTTGCTAACATTTAGTGACTTATTTTTATACGTTATCAGTGTCTGTAAGTGTATATGTGTGTATAATGTATGCATGTACGTGCTTATGTATGTGTTAGTTCGGGTATTTCGATCTCCAGATATACTATACCCATGAAGCTGAAGGTTTACTGCTGTGAACAGTTCTCTGGCATAAAATGAACACTCACGTCCTCCTATCCCTTACGCATACAGAAGTGAAAGATATTTTGACAAAAAACGACTTCGGGAAACAAGCGAGCTAGACGACTAAACTTCACAAAAACGTTCCTTATACGTTTGTGACCCAAAGAGTTAAACTGGGTCTTCACACGCTCTCAAGCCTCACGTAAGTACACGTCGAGGTTTAAAGGGTGCCATGCCAACCCGAGAATTAGACTGAATAGAAAGCTGTGGAGAGCTGCTATTTTAAGACGCCATCTGCTGGTCACTTATGTGTTAATAAAAGTAAATTCAGCTTTCGCTCCCCTTACATCCCACGTACAGGCATGTAAAGTTTGATGTAGATGATCTGGTAACTCCGCAGCTAAAGCGGTGCTGAAATTTTGAGAAGCACCCATCAACAAAAGGACAGCGACCATGTTTGAGCAACTGCATT